GATCGGGTACGAGGTAGTCGACAAATACGATTCCAGGGAGATCTCGCGGCTCGTCGGGGTTGGCAGCGTGACTAATAAACCCGAGTGGAGGAGCGAAATCACATTTCGTTGATCACGCAGATGTTCGCCGGTCTCCGATCTCTTTGCACTTCCATCTTCCAATTAATATAGTTAACGGAAGGAGCTTGTCGATCACATTTATTTTCCAATTAATTACACTCGTTTTCTGATTACCATCTATCGCGGTTAATATTGTAGAACCGACCCCTTTCAGGCTCGAGTTATCCTTGTTATTTCTCAATTGTATTTGCTATCAAGAGGTTGCTCAATGACCGAGCTGTATGCAAATGAAGCTCGATAATTTTTTGTTTTAAATAATAAATAATAATAATTACGTTATAATAATCCAAATAGTTCGTTGAACGAAGTTGCTGTCGCTTTTGAACAATATTTTAAGAAATTGCTGATCTTCGCTATGAAAAGGACTGTCGGACTAATAATACCGATTTCTCGTTGTCGTTCTTAATTTTTTCGGAACATTCGAATCCTTTCTTTTTTGCAGGGAACGTTAATTTTTACGGCAGCGTAAATGTAAAACGTACACAGATTTATGACGTTGGGATAAATTCATTTTTATTCTACATAAATTATTCTCTACCCCTGCCTTATCGGAAGAAACAAATTTTAGAGACCAGTAATTTTGTAGTAAATTACTTCTGAATCAATTATCAAATAAAACCACTTCTAGTGGATTATCTAGTTTCATACTTGCTTAATTGATACTATTACAACTTCCTTCGTTTTCTGTCAGCTAACTTCGTGATATAATAAAAGTGGAAATATTATATTAAAGACAAGTTGTTGGATACAGGATGTTTCTTAATAAAATAAGCAAAATGTTTCTACAAAAAAACATATTAGTACAGAATTCGATACATCCACATAGAAAATTTTGGGCAGAGTATTAAACACGAAAGAGCAATATTATATTGTTAAAGTATCTTTGCATCATGTTATACACTATAATTGAATTAAATTCACGTATACATTGTCTTG